TCTGTTTCCCATTCATAGAATCATGAATTTGGAAGAAACATAGAGTTGGAAGAGACCTCATGGGCCATCCAGTCCAACCCCATTCTGCCAAGAAGCAGGAAAATTGAATTCAAAGCATCCCCGACAGATGGCCATCCAGCCTCTGTTTAAAAGTCTCCGAAGAAGCAGTCTCCACTACACTCCGGGGCAGAGAGTTCCACTGCTGAACAGCTCTCACTGTCAGGAAGTTCTTCCTAATGTTCAGATGGAACCTCCTTTCTTGTAGTGTGAAGCCATTGTTCCATGTCCTAGTCTCCAGGGAAGCAGAAAACAAGTTCGATCTCTCCTCCCTATGACTTCCCCTCACGTATTTATACATGGCTATCCTGTCTCCTCTCAGCCTTCTCTTCTGAAGGCTAAATGTACTGTCCGCCCAGACGATATAAAAACTAAAACTGCGATGTGCTTCTCTCTATGCCTGAGCGAACTGCAGGTGTCTATATTGAGAAGCTTGAGATACTCAGCAACTGAGACTATTACTGGTTTAAACATCAAAAAAGGATATTTATTTATTCAAAGTCCTTGAAGACTTGGCACAGTTCATCAAAGTTGCAAACAAACAGTCAATAGATGAAACTACAAAAATATTCTTTCTTTTCCTTTAGTTACAGAGGTAACCCTTTTCTTCAGGTGGCAGATAAGATCCTGGAATCTTAACACCTTAACCTTAAGCTGTTGTGGTTTTCCCTATCTATAACTTAAGGTTAGTCCTGGAGACAAAGCAGTCAAGACTCTCTCTCTATAACTATATAACTCAATCTTCTTAATTGAGCTTATCTGTCTATAATATCTCAATATAGCTCAATACACAATACACTATCTATATTATCTCAATATAGCTTAATACTTATCTATAATGTATATATACTATCTATAGCTTAATATAGCTTACTCAATTTAGTTTTTGCAATGGTTCTCCCAGAGCTAACTGCCTAGCCGCCAGCACGCCAGAAGTCTTTCCTCAAACTGAAAAGGCAGGGGAGAATCTAAAATGGGGATCTTTCCCTGGGAGAAAAGGCGGTCCCTAAACTCAAAGAACCAATAGTTGCAAAGAGGCCTGCAGACTCTGATACTATTAACTTTTAAGACTCTTGCAAAGCTGCAGCAGCCCTGGGATAAAAAGCAAGAGGAAGCAACCTCAAGCAACTATAAAGTAAGGCAAATCAGGCTCCTGGGAGACGGAACACTAAACATGCCCAGCTCTTTAAGCCGCTCCTCATAGGGCTTGTTCTCCAGACCCTTGATCATTTTAGTCGCCCTCGTCTGGACACATTCCAGCTTGTCAACATCTCTCTTGAATTGTGGTGCCCAGAATTGGACACAATATTCCAGTTGTGGTCTAACCAAAGCAGAATAGAGGGGTAGCATGACTTCCCTGGATCTAGACACTACACTCCTATTGATGCAGGCCAAAATCCCATTGGCTTTTTTTGCCACCGCAGCACATTGTTCTCTCATGTTTAACTTGTTGTCCACAAGGACTCCAAGATCTTTTTGGGGTCTCTTATTGTCCACAAGAGACCCCAAGAGTGATCCAACAGAACTGATGGAAGTGTCTTCGATCTAAAATACAAGTATGGCTAGTTTCAAAGTGTAAAGTAAAGGAAACCCACTGAATTAATTAGAAATGGGAAATCAAAACTGATTCAGCATCTATTTTAGTCAAGTTCTCCACTCATCAAAATGGAGCTTCAGTTAGTCAGCCCTTCACACTGGGGAATTTCACTTTTGTACATTTTGGTATTACAGGTTTAATTGATATGGACGAGGCTGAAGTCAAACAAACAGTTTTTTAAATACTATTGGAGTTCCTTTTTTGAAAATGTTGACAATTTTTCAGATGAAAAACAATTCTGTGGGCGGATTTGGATTTTTAAAGAAATCTCAGGAGATTTTAGAGACTCATGAAATAGTTCCCCAGGAATTACATTTGCGTACTTTCCCTTTTGTAGCGCATCACCTCTAAACCACTTCATCACATTTACGAAATTCCACTGAGCGCTACAATTAATATCCAGGAAGCCACTGTTCTCATCACATTAGGTTGGGTTCAAGGGTAGGATAGAGTATTCTTTGGGTATTTTAAGTGTGGGGGCCAGCATTCTTTTCAAACATTTCAGGAAGTGGTGGGGAACTGGATTTTTTGTAATATCCGGATATTTGGCCGTTTTTCTAATGTGATGTCATTTGTTGCTCCCAGGTTTAAAATGAAACGTTTCCCCAATTTCTGGGAGGGAAAATTGTGGGAAGAGCCAAAAGTACCCTTGTTAGGGAAAGTATTACCTTTTGCTCACCGAGTTTTTACTTTGCCAGAACAATTTCTTTTTCAAAAATACCCTTTCTGTGTCCTTTCCTTCCTTCTGTGATATGTCTGTGCCTTGTGTTGCATGTGAAAGCCAGGAGAGAAGGATGATGATGATGATGATGATGATGATGATGATGATGATGATGATGATTATACCACATCTCCATGCTGTACAGTCCTACGAGTCATAGTTTGTCAAGGTCCATACCCTTCTCTTGGTGCATTTACACTATGGAATGGATGCTCTTGGACCCCACTTTAAATACCATAGCTCTATACTATGCGGTCCTGGGAGTTATAGTTTCCCAAGGTCCATATCCTTCTCTGGATGCATCTGCACTGGACAATAAATGCAGTCAGGACCCATTTTAAATTCCATTATTGTTGTTGTTGTTGTTGTTTTGCCACATCTCCATGGTGTACAGTCCTGGGAGTCATAGTTTTTCAAGGTCCATACCCTTCTCTTGGTGCATTTACACTATGGAATGAATGCTCTTGGACCCCACTTTAAATACCATAGCTCCATACTATGCGGTCCTGGGAGTTATAGTTTCCCAAGGTTCATATCCTTCTCTGGATGCATCTGCACTGGACAAAAAATGCAGTCAAGACCCATTGTAAATTCCATTGTTGTTGTTGTTATGCCACATCTCCATGCTGTACAGTCCTAGAAGTCATAGTTTTCCAAAGTCCATACCCTTCTCTTGATGCATTTACACTATGGAATGAATGCTCTTGGACCCCACTTTAAATACCATAGTTCTATACTATGTGGTCTGGGGAGTTATAGTTTCTCAAGGTCCATATCCTTCTCTGGATGTATCTGCACTAGACAATAAATGCAGTCAGGACCCATTTTAAATTCTGTTGTTGTTGTTGTTGTTATGCCACATCTCCATGCTGTGCAGTCCTGGGAGCCATAGTTTTCCAAGGTCCATACCTTTCTTTTGATGCATTTACACTATGGAATGAATGCTTTTGGACCCCACTTTAAATACCATAGCTCCATACTATGCGGTCCTGGGAGTTATAGTTTCCCTAGGTAAAAAGTTGGAAGCACTGAATGCTCCTTGCAAACATCTCCTTCCGTTGGTTTGTATTCTTTTGGCAAACAGAGGTGTGGTTAGTCAAAATCAATTTCCATGCCAAGGCTCCCAACGCAACATATATTTACTCCCAACACAACATATGTTTTGAGTAAATAAACCAAGTTATCAGACTATCAGAAAGGCTAAAGACTGCTCAAACTTCCGTACAGTGGCCCTTATTTCTCATGCCAGTAAGGGAATGCTCAAGATCCTGCAAGGAAGACTCCAGCAATACATGGAGAAAGAGACTTGCCAGAAGTACAAGCTGGGTTTTGAAAAGGCAGAGGAACAAGAGACCCAATGGCCAATATCCACTGGATAATGGAGAAAGGCAGGGAGTTTCAGAAAAACATCTACTTCTGTTTTATTGACAATTCTAAAGCCTTTGACTGTGTGGATCATAATAAATTGTGGCAAGTTCTTGGTGGTATGGGCATACCAAATCACCTTGTCTCTCTCCTGAGGAATCTGTATAAGCAACAAGTAGCAACAGTAAGAACTGACCACGAAAGAACAAACTGGTTCAAGATTGGGAAAGGTGTATGGCAGGGTTGTATACTCTCCCCCAACCTATTCAACTTGTATGCAGAACACATCATGCAATGTGCGGGGCTTGACGAATGCAAGGCTGGGGTTGCTGCAAGAAAATGATAACAGCCTTAGATATGCAGATGATACCACTTTGATGGCCGAAAGTGAGGAGGGGCTGAGGAGCCTTATAACCAAGGTGAAAGAAGAAAGTGCAAAACCTGGGTTGCAGTTAATCATAAAAAAACAAGATTATGGCAACCGGACTGATGGATAACTGGCAAAGAAAATGTGGAGGCAGTGACAGACTTTGTATTTCTAGGTGAAAAGATGACTGCAGACGCAGACTGCAGCCAGGAAATAAGAAGACACTTCCTTCTTGGGAGGAGAATAATGACCAGTCTTGATAAAATAGTGAAGAGTAGAGACATCACATTGCCAACGAAGATCCGCATTGTCAGAGCAATGGTATTCCCCATAGTAACCTACGGATGCGAGAACTGGACCACAAGGAAGACTGGGCAAAGGAAGAGAGATGCTTTTGAACTGTGGTGTTGGAGGAAAATTCTGAGCGTGCCTTGGACCGCATAAGGATCTAACCATACTCCAGGAAATAAAGCCCAACTGCTCATTGGAGGGAAGGATAGTAGAGGCAAAATGAAGTACTTTGGCCACATGATGAGAAGACAGGAAAGCTTGGAGAAGACAATATGCTGGGGAAAATGGAAGGAAAAAGGAAGAGGGGCCGACCAAGGGCAAGGTGGATGGATGGTATCCTTGAAACGGCTGGCTTGACTTTGAAGGAGCTGGGGGTGGTGATGGCCGAGAGGGAGCTCTGGCTTGGGCTGGTCCATGAGGTCACGAAGAGTCGGAAGCAACTGAACGAATAAACAACAACAATGTAAGACTATGAGCAAAAGGGGTTATGGATAGATGTCAGTGCATACTCTCTGCTTCCTGGACAATAATTCCAAAACAATTATAACCAAAGCCAATGGGTCTTAGCATTGCAAAAGGACATTTCCAGAGTCATTACTCACCTGCTTGCTAGAATGGACGTGGTTTTTGTTCCTGTTGCTGTCCAAGAGGCCGCCGCATTTGCCCAGGGCAGCAAGATCCTTCATAATAGAATTGATCGCTGCCTCGTCGTCTGCAAATCAAAGGAAACGAATGAGCCTTCTGAAATAAATATTTCATCAAGTTGAGCCCCACATGCAGTTTTTAATGACACCTTCGTGCTCTCTTTACTCTCCCTAAAACACTCCATCCCTCCCAGTAGAAAAATATAGAATATTTATATTTGTTGAGGCTGAGAGAGAGTGACTTGCCTAGAGCGAACTAGTGGGTTTCCATGCCCAAACAGTGACTCGAACCCAAGTCTCCAGATTAATAATCTGATACCCAAATGACTAGAGCAGTCATGGGCCAACTTGGGCCCTCCAGATGTTTTGGACTACAACTCCCACAATTCCTAACTGCCTCAGGCCTCTTCCTTTTCCCCCTCAGCCACTAAAGTGGCTGAGGGGAAAAAAGAAGAGGTCTGAAGTGGTTAGGAATTGTGGGAGTTGAAGTCCAAAACATCTGGCGGGCCAAAGTTGGCCCATGACTGTACTAGAACATGGGCATTAATAGTAAGGAATGGATGCAGGTGCCACACTGACAACATAGGCTATAGAATCAATATTATTAGGAGAAGAATAATAACAACAATAAAGCATGGGATGTCCCTAGTGCAGCGTTCCTCAACCTGGGGGTCGGGACTCCTGGGCGGTCATGAGGGGGTTTCAGAGGGGTCACCAAAGGCCATCAGAAAACAAATATTTCTAATGATCTTAGGAACCCCTTGGGCAGTGAAGGCTGAAGATCTCTCCACCTGTCCTTCTCTTCCTTTTGGGAAACAGATGGTGAATCCTTCCACCAAAAGCCCTCTTCCACTTTAATTGGCCAGCCTCTCAACCAAGAGGAGGGCTGTTTCTGAGACTCCAAGCAGGGAGGGGAGAGCAGGTGTGCTATGCACATGGCAGTGTGGGCGAGGGAGAGCATGCGAGGCTGCAGGAAGACTCGTACCAAAGAGTCCCTTCAAGCCAGGGGAGGTTCTGTGTGGGAAGTTTGGCCCAATTCTATTATTGGTGGGGTTCTGAATACTGTTTGGTTGTAGGTGAACTATAACTCCCAGCAACCACAACTTCCAAATGTCAAGTCTATTTTCCCCCAAATCCACCAGTGTTTACATTTGAGCATAATGAGTATCCATGCCAAGTTTGGTTCTGATCCATCATTGTTTGAGTCCACAGTGCTCTCTAGATGTAGGTGAACTACAACTTCAAAACTTAAGGTCAATGCCCACCAAACCCTTCCAGTATTTTCTGTTGGTCTTCAGAGTTCTGTGTTTACATTTGGGCATATTGTTCGTGTCATGTTTGGTCCAGATGAATCATTGTTTCAGTCCACAGTGGTCATAGAATCATAGAATCAAAGAGTTGGAAGAGACCTCATGGGACATCCAGCCCAACCCCCTGCCAAGAAGCAGGAATATTGCATTCAAATCACCCCTGACAGATGGCCATCCAGCCTCTGTTTAAAAGCTTCCAAAGAAGAAGCCTCCACCACACTCTGGGGCAGAGAGTTCCACTGCTGAATGGCTCTCTGGATACAGGTGAACTACAACTCCAAAATTCAAGGTCAATGCCTATCAAACCCTTCCAGTATTTTCTCCTAATCATGGGAGTTCTGTGTGCCTACTTTGGTTCAATTCCATCGTTGGTGGAGTTGAGAATGCTATTTGATTGCAGGTGAACTATAAATCCCAGCAAATACAACTCTCAAAGGACAAAATAAAGCCGCCACCACCCAACCCCGCCAATATCCAAATTTGGGTATATCGGGTATTTGTGTCAAATTTGGTCCAGTGAATGAAAATATATCCTGCATATCCGATATTTACATTACAATTCACAACAGTATCAAAATTACAGTTATGAAGTAGCAACGAAAATAATATTATGTTTGGGGGTCACCACAATATGAGGAACTGTATGAAGGGGTCGCGGCATTAGGAAGGTTGAGAAATACTGCCCTAGCGGAAAATAACCAGGCTGCAATTGGAATTATTTGCACAAACACGCTTAAACGGACCACTTCACATTATTTACACACTTGCACATTGTTGACGCTGTCTGCAATTCAAAAGAATTATGCGTTCTTGAGTTACTTTAAAGTAAAAGAACTGTTGCACCTATCATTGTAGCAGAAATCTGGTAAATTATGAGGAGTACTGGGAAATTGCCATGTTTTTATGCAGACAGTTTGTCAAGGAAGATTTTATTCGAGTCAAGCATCCTGATCCATAATAATGAAGTCTTATGGGGATTACAGAGCTGGGATTATGTGGTCACAGCTGGACCAACAGCCAGGGATGCCATGCCAATCCATAGTGGAAAACAGGAGGTGAGCCAATGCAAACACAAACATGTTTTTCCTCCACATGAAACAAGAACAGAAACAGGCAGAGAGTGTTTCTCACAGCTCTAATCCATTTTGGGATGCATCTACACTGTAGAATCAACACAGTTTGATATCACTTTGCCATGGCTCAATGCTATGAGATCACGGGGGTTATAATTTTATATGGCCTTTAGCCTTCTCTGTCAAAGAATAGAATCATAGAATCAAAGAGTTGGAAGAGACCTCATGGGCCATCCAGTCCAACCCCATTCTGCCAAGAAGCAGGAAAATTGCATTCAAATCACCCTGACAGATGGCCATCCAGCCCCTGTTTAAAAGCTTCCAAAGAAGGAGCCTCCACCACACTCTGGGGCAGAGAGTTCCACTGCTGAACGGCTCTCACAGTCAGGAAGTTCTTCCTCATGTTCAGGTGGAATCTCCTTTCTTGTAGTTTGAAGCCATTGTTCCATTGCCTCCTAGTCTCCAGGGAAGCAGAAAACAAGTTTGCTCCCTCCTTCCTACGACTTCCTCTCACATATTTATACATGGCTATCATGTCTCCTCTCAGCCTTCTCTTCTTCAGGCTAAACATGCCCAGCTCTTTAAGCTGCTCCTCATAGGGCTTGTTCTCCAGACCCTTGATCATTTTAGTCACCCTCCTCTGGACACATTCCAGCTTGTCGATATGTTTCATGGCCAGAATCACAGGGTTGTTGTAGCTTTTTTTGGGCTATATGGCCATGGTCTAGAGGCATTCTCTCCTGATGTTGCAGGCGAAACGTCAGGAGAGAATGCCTCTAGACCAGTAGTTCTCAACCTGGGATCCCCAGATGTTTTTGGCCTACAGCTCCCAGAAATCCCAGCCAGTTTACCAGCTGTTAGGATTTCTGGGAGTTGAAGGCCAAAAACATCTGGGGGCCCCAGGTTGAGAACCACTGCATTATAACAATTTGAGTCTCCCTCCTCTGGACACATTCCAGCTTGTTAATATCTTTCTTGAATTGTGGTGCCCAGAATTGGACACAATATTCCAGGTGTGGTCTAACCAAGGCAGAATAGGGCATGGGGAGCATGACTTCCCTGGATCTAGACACTATGCTCCTATTGATGCAGGCCAAAATCCCATTGGCTTTTTTTGCCGCCACATCACATTGTTGGCTCATGTTTAACTTGTTGTCCACGAGGACTCCAAGATCTTCTTCACACGTACTGCTCTTGAACCACGTGTCCCTCTTTCTGTATCTTTGCATTTTTTTCTGCCTAAGTGGAGTATCTTGCATTTGTCCCTGTTGAACTTCATTTTGTTAGTTTTGGCTCATCTCTCTAATCTGTTAAGATCGTTTTGAATTCATCTCCTGTCCTCTGGAGTATTGGCTCTCCATCCCAATTTGATGTAATCTGCAAACTTGATGATCAGGCCTTCTAACCCTTCATCTAAGTCATAATAAATTGAATAGGTTGAATAGGACCAGGCCCAGGACGGAACCCTGCTGATGGCACTCCACTCATCACTTCTTTCCAGGATGAAGAGGAAACATTGGGGAGAATCACCCTCTGGGTTCGTCCGCTTAACCAATTACAGATCCACCTAAAGGTAGTTTTGCCTAGCCCACATTGGACTAGTTTGTTAACCAGAAGGTCATGGGGGACCTTGTCGAAGGCCTTATTGAATGTTAGTGTCTCACCAAACTACAACTCCCATGATTATGTAACATTGAGTCAAGGCATTTCGAGTGGCATCAAACTGCTATAATTCTACAATATAGATACATTTGGAGCTCCTGATGGCACAGTGGGTTAAACCACTGAGCTGCTGAACTTGTTGGCTGAAATGTCGCAGGTTCGAATCCGGGGAGTGGGGTGAGCTTCCGCTGTTAGCCCCAGCTTCTGCCAACCTAGCACTTCGAAAACATGGAAATGTGAATAGATAAATAGGTATCACTCCGGCGGGAAGGTAATGGCACTCGATGCAGTCATGCTGGCCACATGGCCTTGGATGTGTCTATGGACAATGCCAGCTCTTTGGTTGAGAAATGGAGATGAGCACCAACCCCCAGAGTCGGACACGATTAGACTTAATGTCAGGGGAAAACCTTTACCTGGATGCATTTGGAGTTAGTTTCTTGCTCCCTTTAGGGAGGTGTTTTCATTCCCCAACCCCAAATATGTGAGATTTCCCTTCTGCTGACTATGACACCATAGCTTCCCCTTTTAAGCCATTCTTGAGAACTCGTGTGGTTTGCCAGCTCAGTCGTAGATTGTTTTGGCCTCATTGGTTATTATGTTTTTGCCATGAGCTTGAAAGAGGAAACATGAAGATCTGCGACCTTTTACTATACAATGTGGGTTCGTTGACTCATGGTGCCTCACTAAACTATGGCTCCCAGGATTCCATAGCAGTGTTCCATAGGAGATAAAACTACGTCAAACTGCATTAATTCTACAGTGTAGATGCACCCTTAGTGTTCACCCTTAGGCACGCCAATGGGATTTGCTATGGGCAAGGACAGCACCTCTAAGCCATTCTCCTAAGCACACACTTCCTTTCACCAGCCTATTCTTTCCCTCCTCAGCAAGGAAAAAGTGAGAGAGAGAGAAAAACGAGGCTCCAGTTAATTGCCGCCTTTGGCACACTTGTAATTTCACTTCCGAGAACATTGTAAAGCGGTCAACGACTGGTTTTCTCCGTCATCATGAATTCAAAAC